AAAATCAAATCAAATCAAAATCATTTAATCATACTTAACCATAAATAGGTACTTTTGAAACGTCAAAATAGAATAGTAGTCTGTCCGTCTGTTCGTCAGTGAAGTTAGGTGCTCGTTCCAAATTGTAGTTTCGAATGGAAAAGAACGAGCAGAAACTCCATCGTTACTCTTTTTAAAACTTATTATTTGTTTTACAAATCACTAATAATAAATTTTGTATACATTATTGTACCCCATTGTTGTATTTATATCCATTAGGTATATAAACGATTATATTTTCCAATAAAAAACGAGTTATTTTTAACTTACCAAATCACAGGCAAGTATCAATTTACAATATTTCCACATCATCCAAATATGAGGCTTGGAGTGAGATCTAAAATATAAACCGGCGCAGCTTGTCCGTCATCCGTGTAACCTATTTAGGGTTGAAACTAGTCCGGGGCTGTGCCATAAAATATTTATGAGAGATGCCGAGCGAAGGCAACGCACAGACCGAGTTTTCAAGAAGGAATCGTGTTTTTAATTATTTTGTTCAGAGTTTGTTTTTTATGCTGTACAGTGTAGGGTTGAGGATGTTACTAGTTGAGACTTATTATTTCATTAAGTTTGGAATATACGGGTGTGTTATTAGAATGTCTCACCTTTTATGCCATTTAGTGTATAAATGTTAAAAAAACATATCAAAAATTCTCCGAAAGCAACACAAACAACGGACGACTATTATTCGCATTCATTCGTTAAGGAATTTTCATAAAATTCTGGCATCAATTCCCCTCAACGCCCATAGAACTGACTCATGCACACATCAAACGGAACACGCGTACACACTCACACATAAACATTTCACACAATATGATTAATTCGGGCGTTGTTACGTCGCTTCATGGCGCGTCATACCGCGGCGTTAGCATACGTCATGACAACGTGCGCCGACAATCTATTAAACGAAAAAACTGCCCCCGCCGCTCCCTGGATAGGCATACAATATTTATGAGATGTCCTACCGGCGAGATGAGATATGCCCCGTGTTAATAGCGGGCAGCGAAAAGAGGGCAATGGTCATAAGCACCATTTGTATCACTATTCTTGAGACATTTATTGGCTATATGCTTTTAAATTCATATTTAATTTTTAATCAACGTATTGTTTTAATTTTGGATTTATGTAATTCAGTATGTTTGGTAAATTGAAAAGTTTTTCAAAGCAGTCCAGTGTCTTCATTCCCGCTATATTCCTGTAACTTAGGCTGGTCACTTGAAGTGGTCTCAGATTAAAGTTGGGCCGACGTGATCCGTCTCGGGAATCATGGTCCACAAGTAAACCTACCGAGCTCGGTGGGAACTGACCTGTTTATTACTTGCAACCAAATTATTTGACAAGTTGAGATTTTTTACATTTACACCGAACTCTCGGACAAATAGGATGAGTCTTAAGGACAAACTTTGATATTGGATTTAACAAAATATTTATGAATTATAATATTAACGTCAACTTTCTGCTACTTAAAATATTGATGAAATGTTCACTTGGGAGGTTTTGTTTAGTAATATTATTGTTGTATTATTTCTTATGAGGCTAACATTTAACTTTGTAAAACACTCGTTTTTATTAACAAGGTCTGGTGGTAGAGCAAACAAATAACACGCTATAATTTCCCATCACACAGTACACCTTCACGCCATCAACTTGAAGGATAGGGGCGGGAACACAAAAAATTAACAAAGTAAGGTCCACATAATAAAAGGAAAGGTCCGGGTCCATTAATATGCTGGCTGGAGGTGCACTCACACTTGTGTAGCGAGGGGTGGAACATCATGTTTCTTTATTAGTATTACTTAATGTTCTATGGCGATTGTTGTAGCTTTTATAATACACGAAGGCTGTGTCTTATTGATGAATAGCTTATGCCCGCGACTCCGTTCGCGTGGAATAGTAACTTTCTGCAGATTTTTAATATAAAAACTATCCTATGTCCTTTTTCGAGTTCCAAACTATGTCTTTACCAAATTTTACAGAAATCGGTTCAGTAGTTTAGGCGTGAAGAAAAGATTGACAGACAGACAGACAGAGTTACTTTCGCATTTATAATATTAGTTTGGATTATTTTTATTTTAAAAAAACACTCGTAATTCGTTTTTTGTACTGATTAGGAATTTTAGTTAGAAATGCAAAAGGTATTCGTAATAACATTAAAGGGTTAGTTTTATCCAAACTATTTTTGTTTAACCAAACACAACGCTTCGTCATTTAGAGTCGAAACCGCTGGCAAAATCACTTGAAACCGTACAACCGGGATGGAAATAAAAAACAAAAATACAACAAAAGAGTAACAAACCACTCGTTACAGGCAGTTAGGAAAGGCTTTCCCACAGCGCATCAATATTCAGTTACGCAATCGAAGCACAGTTTATCCATTGCCGGCGAAACATTGACGCAGCAGTTACACATCCATGAAACCGCGTCCATGTATACGTACCTCGTATTTTACGTCCACATGTCCTCGCTGCTGGCTGTTACCAGCCTGCGTTGTGCCGATAAAAAGTAACTGTTCTCGTGGAACTGTTATTTCACATACTACCCTATTTTTCGTAACACAGTACTACCTATTTATCCCACCGATTATAAGGACGCACTCGGTAGAAAATTGTCAAGGTGTTCTATGAGCTTTCCACGTTGTTAAGGAAATATATTTTCTAGATCTATTTATTCTAATATGTTCTTTATTTTGTTTCAGGTTAGTTCTAAAGTTGGAATTCGAATGAAGATGATGGTTGTTAGAGAAAATATTGTAAGTAAAACATTGGTAGTATTCCAACCAAACCAAGACTATATTTGTTAAAAGAATAGCTAAATGTCCTTAAATCAAGTTTTTCACAATATAAACGAGAGTTGGTGGTAGTACCAAGCATATGGCTGCAATATCGTGTAGTGATCAGTCAGTAGCGACTGCGACATAGCTTCATTAAGCCACTCGGCTCCACTCGGGGCCACTCGGTCATGTTCAGTGACAATCGACTTTGCAACAACCGAATAAATGAAGTTAGCATATTGTTTAAAGTGATTAATAAAATATGTGCTCTTAGTTATGAGATTCCTATGAGAAAAACTCTTGATGAATGTGTCAATAAAGGAAATTATTTACAAAGAATAGTACAAAATAATGCAGTAAAAAAGTAAAAGATATTTAGTAATACAAATAAAAATAATTGATTTCGAAGATGTATGTAGAATCAACCAGTTTTTGAACCTAAAGTTTAGAGGTTTATTTCCTTTTTAATAACATATCTCCCTCTTTCACTTGATCTACGAAGTATTTTTTAACATTCTCAAAATATGACTTTTTTGAACTACTGTAGTATTGATGATATAACCAAGTATAAACACATCCTCGTATAGTGACAGTTATTAAGTCCCGGCGTACACGACGCTGTCGTCCGATGCAATCGAGCAGTACATGTACTCACTGGGGACCTCTGATTGGTCGCCGCGTCGTGACGTCACATATCAGTATGCGTCCATCGCGTCACGTGACTATGAAATTTTATCACACACATATTTTAACTTCAAAATGCAATATGTATTGTATACTATTTATAGATTGCTTTCATTTTACTTTTTAAAAAAAATATTTAAATGTTAAAACCGCCAAATATTTTCAAAATGTTTCCAACTATGAAATATAAGGCAAAAACATTACCCAGCATTATTCATACTTATCGTTGTAGTACGAAACGATGTTTCATTTTCATTCATATCTCACACTTGCAAACAATTTCCAACCTTAAGTCTGTCAACTGAAGGAATATTAAAAATATTACAGATGAAAATACATTGTTGTGCAGACCCTACTCTGAGCATCGTGTAAATGAGAGTTGTCACCTGTGATACGTAAAATAGAAATATGTAGCGACAACGAAAAAATTACAAAATTTATGTTTCGGGATATTATCTTCACATTTACGGAGCTATTCCTCAGTTGCTTTTACAGTAAAAATATACCAAGAAGCTACTAACTTTCTTCAGAATTCTTTCTTCGTCAATTTTGTTCCAACTTGAGCATAATGAGGAGTTGATAAAATTTCAGTTTTACATATGAACAAAAAGAAACAATTTCTTTGTCTATTTAATTTTCCTTTGGCGGGCACTCGTGGGGTTGATTACATTTTAACACGTATCCAAAACGATGCCAGCTTTTTTTGCTAACCGTTCTTTTTGTGCGGGCATTATGTAAATTGTCTATTAGGAGCAATGAGCTACACATTTATGCGAACAAGTTTGACAACAGCCGGCGAATTTGAGGTAAAACAGTGTCGACGGGGGAAACACTTCTAGGCAATGTTTAGTAAAGGATTGTACGTCTCAGCGTTAGCTATTCCTGAACTTCCATCTTCATGAAACCGACCCAGACATTCAAAAACGAAAAGTCAATGCAAAGCGATGATGTCTCTACACTCACGATACTCTAACTTGTCCATTACAAATGCATTTGCACCTCTCTGTGAACCATCCAACAATCGCCCATAAGTCAATGTTTATAAAGTTCGCTACAGATGCAACTTTATCTTTGTATTTGTTTCTGAAAACAAATATACTTTTACGTGTGATTTACACGATAGTGTACTTTATGGAGTTTGCATTAAGAGATTGTCCTGTGGTGTTGCAGTTGAGTACATTCAGTGTCTCATCACACACTAGTCTGTCCGTCTGTCTGCATGACAAATTGTTACCAGGGAACGATTAATGGTATTATGACGCTTTGTAGATTTATGATCTGATGTAAGATAATGGAATGTGATATATATGGCGTTTCAGAAGGCCAGACATAGGACTTGAAGGTTTAAGGTCCATCTGGAAGTCAGACATAAGTGATACTGACCTTTGAGGAGGAAAATAGTAGTGGTGTTATATTTATTCCTTTAAGTGCATACCATTACAGAAAATATTCAGCTACCATAAATATTACAAACATAAAATATCACTTGTGAGTTGCTGTTGCACTATGGGAGATCTAATGGTGGTAGCTTAGCTATACGCGATGAGTCCCAGGAAGAGGACTCTTCCACTTCCTCAGCAGTTTGTGTAGTATCAGATTTTGAGTCTTCTTCAGTCAGAAGTACGCTGTAGTCGTAGAAGAAGTGCATGTTGTAAGGTCTTATTTGACCACTAGCGTTTGGACAGCGATGATCCGCAATTTTAGTGAACACTGCCAGACAGAAAGAAAAAATATAAAGAACTACCTACGAATAATAGATTCATTTGTTAGAATTCAGAAGTAAAATAATGGCTCTTACGCTCCCAAAGAATTTGGCTTAAAAAGTATAACGAACAATAACAATAGTCAAAGTGGCATTCACTCTAATTGACCCGTGATGTCAAAATGTTAATTCTATACATTGACTCTTATTTGATTTTCTCCTATTTCGTGGGTGAGTTAACAAACATACAGTTTCATCTACACTCGCATCCAAACCCGGAACAGAAATGGATCACACGAAGACTTGTTTCGTGCGGGAATTGGCATGGCAGGCGGTTCTCCAACCATATTAACTTTGCAGTCTAATTGGCACAGTTCATAGTGCTGTAGTATAGTATTCTAGAGGCCTCCATCTACTTACTTGTGCCGTCCTGACAGTTCCTATAGTGCATCATGCAGAGACTCTTGAACGTCCTCCTGGCTCGTTGGTATGCTCCACAGATCCACTTGATAGATGGATCTCGCCATTTCTTAAGCATATCCTCCGGACACTTTGGACATTTGCGATGCCACTTTCGCCTGTAATTTACGAGTGGAGAAAGTTAAACATTTCCAGCCAATTGTCAGTTGCGCCAATATATGAAAAATTTCTACGATAAGTGTCCCCATACCATCCTTTCCGTTCGATAGTAGACTTAGGTATACGATCTTTTTTCTTTTGTTGTGCTTCAGATTCCTTTGTGGATTTTTCTGAGATTGATTGTTGTAACGATTCGGAATCATCTGCAGCGTCCGTATCATCTGCAAAATATATTATGTGTTAACACGATTAGAACGAGAATCGAACCCGCGACACGTTGCACGGCAGCCAGTTGCTCAGCCACCGCACCAACCGTGCAGTCAGTTGGATATTTATATAATTGCACGAAGCAACTCAATTGCTGTTATACCACGGCCTCACCTATGTGAAACAACTACAGTGTTATATTTCGCTGTGTGACTGAGATTAGTATATGTGTTGTACATTGTAGTTTAAAAACGAGTTTATTAGAGAGCCCTGCTGCAAGTCTGTCTCACGTGTGGTTATTTACCTGACCTGCAGGAAGATTCCCTACTCCTCACCACACTTGACACTCCAACCTGTAGCACCTCCAAATATTTAACTCATAGCCCTATATATTATCATAGTACTGTTCAAATGCTAAATACGTCTCATCTCTGATGACGACGTGGACAGCGACTTCTTGAGCGCCCGCCTTGTCTCCACCACCTCCAACTTGTTGTCTTTGAGTTTATTCTCATCTATTAACGAGTCGTTGAATACGAACGCTGCTGCTATTTGCACTGTGAACATAATACATTTTGGATAATCATTAATATATAGAGATTTTTTACCACTCCGATTGGCAACTGAATTTGAAGAAATTAAAAGGACCATTGTAGTTAATTTGTTTTAACTTGGCATTCAAATTTCTACTGAATATTGGAGAATTAATCATAAAAGTTTTCATCATATTTATTTTACTTACGTAATATCACTACGAGTACAAAGTATGGCACTGTTTGCACCATGGCTCCACGTCAATCATTTTACACCCTCTCACAACTTGTATAGCGGCCCATAAATATAAAGCCAAACCAGATTTATTTCTATTCGATTTGAATTTTTACGACTTCTCCATATCTACGTGTAATTTCACTTTCATATTATGTTTTGTTTTATGTTTTTATTCGTGAAAAAACGAAACGTAAATGTTTCCCATATTTTAGGATTGTTCTTGATAATTTGTAAATTCTTGGAACTGAAAGTTTTGTACTTTCTTTGGCATGAGCTATGTACGTTATTCGTTTTTCTTCATATTAAATGCACAAGTATGATGGCTAGGACATCGCACAAAGTAGACAACGAAAACTATGCAAGGCATAAATTTTGTAGGGTTACAAAACGCTTACTCCATCAGCTTTTGTACGTTTAAAAATTTTAGGAAGTACCTATAAAGATTAATTTTAGAGGAATATAATTTTTTTTATTATTTTGGGGTACAGATTTGGACTACACGATTGGTGTGGTGTCTGAGTTACTGGCTGCCGCGCAACGTGTCGCGGTTTCGATTCTCACACGAGACTACTCTTTGTGTGATCCACAAATTGTTGTACCAGGTTTGGGTGTGATGTGTATGTGAAGTTGTTTGTTTATAAACGCACCCTAGGACACTGGGATTTTTTCCTGTGTCGTATAGGAGAAAGTCCTAGTGTGGGGCAATGTGTTTTTTGAATCACACAAGTCGTTCTGAGCTGTTCCATCCATGGTTGTGTAGCATTCGAATATTCAGTCACTTTGTCAACAGTGACTGATATATAGTAGATTGTAATGGTAAACGTAGTGGAAAAATTATCTTCGGCATTTTTCTTTTTATCTATTCTCATCTATGTATTTTCAGTCAAAGAAGAATGCTTTGAAATTTATATAAAAATGAAGAGCAACTCTCGAGCTCTACCCTATTAATACTTGTCTATATAGTGCTATTTTGCTATGTAAGTTCATAATGCATCTTGGTTACGTATTTTATTTACCTAGCTGTTTAATTTATCCGTCTCCCTCTGCAAGTCCTCACATGCCACTCCTCCGTCTAACGATAATACCCGGTTATTGCTGAACGGTCTCAAAGAAAGGCTGACCATGTAAAATGGCGTCGTTCCCCTGATTTATCTCATAGCGCACGTAAATAAATTATCTCATAAATAAGAACGGGTCTTTCCGCTGAACTAGAAAATTTATTTTAGCTAAATAACGTCTTTTGGGCGCCGTTTTGGGGTTGGGAGGGACCTATATACCTACAGATCTAGTTAGTAATTTAAATGGGCCTTTGTTACTATATGAGCCTTTTCTAGTAGTTTTTGCAAACATGAAATGCTTTTTCGATTCAGAAGATTTTTTATTTCCAATGTTTTTCCATTGATTTCATTACTTTCATATTTCGTTATGTTATTCTGAAAACTGAGTTATCCACGTATGGGGAATATACGTATCAATCAAGTTATCATGTCTCGTCAATGTTTTGTTTGTATTTTTTCTTGAATATCATTTTTAAGTAACGTCTATAGCTTTTTTACGCTTGTTGCTATTAAGAGATATGCTTAACAAAGTAGCTGGGCTAAAAAACCGTTGACCTTCAGTTTCTGAAGCGTACTGTGTTCATGCAACAAAACTCTTGTATATCCGAATACAATGAAACTTAGTTACCTAACGATTCGGTTCGTAACCAGAATTTATACTTTCTTAGTATTTGAACATTTTGTTGCTATTGCTTTCTTCCTTTTCAACAATTCTATGAAAATAAAACATTATGTCTTAGTAAAAATTTAAAGAGTGAAATGTATAAGAATAATATTTATTTTAGAACTATGATACATTATACTTGGTAGCCATAGAACCAGTGCCTGCCATGGTAGCTGTTGTTCCTACATTTGTAGTCGTGCAACTTCACGAACACTGCAAATAGAAAATATTTAATTAGTATCGACTTCTTTATTTCTCAACACAGTTATTTGTACAGTACATATTAACTACTTTTCATAAAAAATATCTGTCAACGGGTATATTTGTCCAGATGCTTTCAATAATAATGGAAGGCGAAGGAACTTATAAGGACTTAAATTTAGTTTCACGTGATAAAAGTATCATTTTATGTACAGTAATTGTTAAACCTTATGAATGATTGGGGGCTCAGTGTCGTTAATGAAGAATACACAAATAGCCTAAAGATTTTGTAGGAAAAAAAGATCAAATCTTATCCTCTTGAATACTCACTGGTTCCATCCTGACAGTTCCTGTATCTCATCATGCACTCACTCTTAAAACTGCGCCTGGCGCGCTGGTAGCTAGCACAAATCCACTTGATGCCAATATTTTTATACTTCTTTAACATATCATGAGGACAAGGATGACAAGACCGGTATCGCTGTGTTCTGCAAATGTAAACTTTCAGTGCTTAAAGATAGAGTTTAGGATTATTAATAATATCATGCTACATGCTTACGCTTGTTTTCTTTCGTTCGTTTCCTTGGACGAACTTGAGGATCCGTGCTCACTCGCAGTATATTTTGATATTTCTCTGTAAATTAAGATTACCGTTACTAAGCCTGGAGCTTTTCTCTATGCTTTTTTGTAGAATTGTTTCTGCATTTTAGAACTATATTGCGAAGTGGTATTATGATTGAACATACTTAAAAATAAGCTTGATATAATCTATACTTAAAATAACATAACATGACTGAATAACTGAATAGTGTGTTTGTTTGAACTCGCTAATCTCAGGAACTACTGGTTGGAACTTGGAATTGAAACATTCTATTTGTGCTTAATAGACCATATATTGAGATATGATTAAGACAATAAAATATCCCGCTACCATCTGTAGGAGTCGATCAGTGGGTGAAACTGCACGAGAGCAGCTTGTTAAACAATAAACTCTAGTTTAAGAAATACAATCTTAAGGAAACATAAAGAATCCCTTCACAAGAGTCCCTGGCAAAGAATCCCTTATTCTTACATTACCATATACTTACAAAGACGAGCTTTTATCATCTTGCAGGCTGCTGGCAGTTTCCACAGAATTTACAGAAAAGTCGTACCATTCGGGACCTCGATGGTGAGCATCGTCAAACTGCGCCAGATTCTCCATCTGGTTGATATTCACCAAATGGTACGAGGTGTGTCGCCTTTGGCATTGTGATACTATAAACCAATATTCATACTTAATACTTTTTTATAAATCTTTCCAATTATATTTGAGGTTTGATGAGTGTCTTGAAGTTTTAAGTCTGTTAGATGGGCCAAAAACAGTGCTAATTTTTGATATTGAAAAATGTTATATTATAACTAGTAAACTTCGTTTTTTCTTCATAATTCAATAAATGTTTTTAAATAAAATGTTCATAGAAATCAGCATGATGTAAGACTCCAGAGAATATAAAGTAAACTTACCTTTAAAAAACAAAATCACAAATACATAAAATAACATTATATTAACATGATAAGGTTTGCTTAAAACAAAATAAACATTGTTTGCGAAACAGTTTTGTTGTTAAAATGTAATTTAAATTTCAAATGGTTTATATGTGTTTTATTGCTATTGTGAAACATTTGTTTTCCAGATTTTGCCTATAATTCGACGGTGGTAGTTGTTAGTAAGACTTATGAATAGTTGCGTTGGTCCTAAAACACTCCCTGGGGAATACCTTTAAATATAACATAAGCCTAACGATCACGAATGGTATCTATGTTCTAAATGGCTGATACTAGTTAAAATAAAAGACGCAGTTCACGATGTTTTGCCATTTAATAAATATGATACAAAACATCTCTTGCTGTGCACACTTAAAATTAAAACGAATCGTACAACCATTGTCAAGCCGTGTCGTCTTCCTTAACTTAATAATATCCTGAAACAAGAATACTTGTATAAGTTCAACGTTAATTAAAATTTCTTTAGCAATCTTCCTGTGATGATAAACATGACCTTTTCGCAAATAAAGTGGATTTAGTCACAAGTAGAAAACATTATCTGCGCTTCGAAACATATATAGTATAGAGTATACAGAAATATAATTACATAGCATGTAGAAACTAATAATGCACTGTTCTACGTAAAACTAATAATATATGAAGACTTACTTCGTTTCCGAGATACAATAACAGAAATCGTTAAACTCAATACGTAGCTGCAGACCGTGCTTTCAAAATAAACGAGCGAACTGCATATTATTGTTGCAATGAAACCTGTTTTACCTATATTGCATATTCATGTTATTTTACCTTAACGATCTAGAAAGCAGTAAGAACTCTATTATCTTAGGTAAAATTATGGAAAATATTAAGAGTATACTTACACATAAAATTAAAAAGTAGTCTACGAGTAATCTGTCTCGTCCTCATCTGAAAAATATTTTACTTATTTAAATTAAAACGAACAAGATGTAAGAAAGCACACTCTTATTATATATCTCGATCTGTAATTACGCTGTACAAATACTTAACATTTGTAAATAACTATTAAACCCTGGGAAAGTTGCTGTCGTAAACAAGATCTAAAGAACGTAGAAGAGAAATTCAATAACTAGTGAAGGTTCAAAGTTTGATTAAATATAATTTGCATGGCGGCCGGCTCACCATCTGCTCTCCTAATATATTTTTAATTTATGTCCAAAAAGTTGAAGGTTCCGCGCCGGATTACAGGGTACGCTTGTTAAAAATTATACTCGAGTTTGGAGTCCTTCCTAAACATCTGTGGTGTATGCTGATTGCGAGTATTATTATGTTTTCCTATCAATCACAATTTCCCATCGAAAGTTACTTCCAGTTACTTTGACACAAAGTTGTAATAAAATTGAAATTCACCTTTACCAGACTTCGATCTTGCTGGACTGCCTAAATAATTCGATTGTACATTCTGGACATCTGGAAGTAAAACAAAAATAATGTTTGCAAGATTTTTTAAATAATATGATCATAATAAATTTATTGTGGTAAGGACTTACTTGCTCCAATTTGCTTCTGGTTAGGTTTTCCATACACGTCTCTGCTTGGTGTTGGTGGATACGGAGGAGGTTTGTCGTAGCTAGTCCTCTGGTACATAGCTGGGTATGCACTGGGCGCATTAACTGGCGGGAACCTCGGGTCGTATGGTTGGAAATGCCCCCGAGGTCCTGGATAATTATTTTCCATTGCATCCCCTGGTGCATACTGGTAGTTTTGTTGGTACCCAAAATCATCGAGTTTAAACGACCCAGGCCGTAATGGCATTCTTGGAGGATACTCAGGATATTGTTGGTTTACAAATGGAGGCTGGTAGTTCCGTGGGTATAGATAGTTAGATGATGGATCTACGTATCCAGTATCCGTCTGTAGGACAGGATACGTCTGGGGGGAGTACCCTTGCTTCACACTGTCCGCCCCAGCGACTTGATTGGTTCCAGGGTAAACATTAGCGGGTCTTGGAGTATAAGACGGATATATAGATGGGGGTCTAAAAGTACTGGTGACTACAGCGTCGGGGGCAGGCAGCAGCAACGGGTTGCTGATCACTGGATATTGCCTGGTGTAGCCTAAAACGAGCATATGTTAAAAATGAATTCAAAAATATGCAATTAATCAATATACAAATAAATTCAAAACAATAGTTAATAAGATTGTTGTAATCAATGTAAACACTGTGAAGTAAAACAGATCCGCTTCCGAGCAGGTGTAAACGTCGGCGTCCCAAAAATCATCAAGTATAAAACGAATTTTACGTTGACCAATAAAACAGTGATAACAGGAGTGGCACCTGAATGGAAAACACAATTACCCTCACGCTATCACGTTCAGGGGTGAGTGGCTTCGGTAAATGGACATCGAGGTGTCAATACACTTGAGGGGCAATCTATAGCGCGTCAGTTTGCTCGATTGGCGCTCATCGCTCGTTTCGACCTCGTCCTTATTGCGTTTCCAAAACGATTCACCGTATTGGTTTTCCTCAATGCTCTCCCACTAATTAGGGACCGCTATCTCGGAGGACGATTGATTTATGTACCATTGTTTGTTTTGTTATCTGCTATCAAACTGCCAAGGGTAAAGGCGCCTTGCCTAATTTTTGGGTAAACCTTTGCTTTCTCCGTAATAAATATATTTAAGGAAACATTTAATTTTACTTCTTGGCTTCAGAGTTTGTATTGATTTCTATAAAAAACTGTTTCAGGCTCAGGATGAAAATATTTCCATTTGTAACTAGAATAATAAAACTTTATTGTTGAAGCCATTAATTCTTGTGATATGTTATAATATTTTACTGGACGCTCACCAATCCATACCCGTGAGTCCAGCTCCATTTTTTTAACGTCACCTGTATCTGCAATTATGACGGCGTGTCGCAGCCGCTCGTAAATTTTTACTTTATTTGGTTGCTTTTAATGTTCCAGTTGATACGAGTTTTTTATTTCCCCCTCTGTCACCCTCTGTCGGTCCCCTCAGACCGGGTGCAAACGAGCTAGCAAACGATGGCATAAAATCGACGGTTATCACGCATTCGCCAACTTTTCAACTGGCCACCGCGCGCTAAACTTTGGAAGGCGATCTCGAACTGACGCTTTAATCTGAAATAATAATGTCAGTTCAGACAATGTTATGCAAATAAAATAAATGCCAAATATTTTCATCGTAAATGCTTACCTAATAATAACGTAAGTTTACCTGAAATTGCTGGAACAGAATAACATAATTTTTAGTTAGCTATTAAATCAATTTGATTATTAAATATTATAATTAATTTAACCCTAAAACAATGAAAAACAACTCACCAGATTTCACTGAATCCGGTGGTTCTATGCCTGAAAAAATGACGAACCGGGTCAGCATAATGTTTTTAATAAAATACAATTTGAGTAAAGCAAACATACTAACAGCACGATGGTTTGGTGTAGCAGTTGACTTCGACGGTGATCATGCCAACCGCGGTGGCCTCCGTACACAAACAGATCTGGCATTCATCCCAGGGATGCTGGAACGTTTGGTTTGGTGGATATGGCCGGCAAGATTCATCTGTAAAAATGTTTCTAAGAAGAGTCATATTATATTATAAAAATAGTTTAGATTTTATAAAACAGTACCTTATTATTACATTAGACAAACTCACACAAAGAGCTGATAATACAAAGAAATAAATAAAAAAAATGATTTATTTGTCACCAGGTATGTCGCGCTACTCATTATACCTATGTGTAATATAGGTACGATAAGATGACATAAAAGTACTCAAGAAACTTAAACGAAATAAAATCATACATGGCTTTATATTTGACACAAGCTAATGACCACATACTTCTTTTTACATATGTTTACCAGGACATATTTTCAGCAGGATTAGTTGTACTATTTTGGATATTCTTTATCATTTAAATTAGACTTATACTTACGTGGCGATGGACCTGGTAGAGGGCCAGGCGGTGGAGTCAGCGCTGGTAGAGGAGGACCTGGCGATACTGTCGTTATAGGAGGCCACGGTACTAAACAGTAATTAAATTTATTAAGTCTCCTCGAAATCAAAAAATATTTAAACAATATTTATGATCATGCGAGTACTCACAAGGTTCTACCGTAACAATCTCAGGTAAAGGAACCGGTTCTATTATTGGCTCAAGCAGCCCTTTCATAGGTTCTGACGGTATCGGTCCTGGTTCAGGATTTGGCTTTTCCTTATAAGGATCCAGTGGTATGGGAAGGGAAGGGACTGGCTCTGTGACTGGTTCCGTTTTAACTGCTGTGAAATTCAAAGCAAAATATACATAAATAAATGATGGACTGACGCATGAAATTGAAATATTTCACTATATAATAATAATTAAACTATATAAAAATATATACATATAATACACTTACTACAATCCGGATGGGGGTAGCAAGTTATTAGCTGCTCAGGGAGGCCGCTCTCTGCGTCCCTTTTGGAACACTTGCACAGTCTGCATGTGTCAGTCGGATGAGGGAACAACACGTGCTCAGGAAACTTCTCACAGATAGGCACTGAGAAGAAATAAAACAAGGAGTGGTATTGGTAGGTCTTACTCGTCATTAGAACTGATTAAAGAGGCCCAGTCAATTCATTTTACACAAATGTTTTCTTGTTAAAAACCTCATGAAGGAACTGGGGATACTCAACTGAGTAACGTTCTTCGTGAACAATTGTCACATAATGCATCTTCTGTGCAACGGCGTTGCACATCCGACATGAAAGTCACAAAATTTGTTTAATTTCATCCTTAGTGTTTTTAAAATCTGATTCTATCTGATCTAATTATTATTATATAAAACTTACGTGGGATCGGCATCGGGACATCTGGCAGTGGAGCTGCAATAATACCATAACATTTATTGCAAAATAATTGTAAATTATATATTCTCATTACATTAGATATTGTATTATGTATGTACTGACTACTAGGAAGCCTCTGGCACAAGTTCGACATAACATTTACCTAATGAAATACTACAATACGTTCCACTGAAGTATGTACATACATAAAATTATTTATTTATTTATTAAGAATATAATTATATCTTTCTGCAATTTGTGGCTCCGACTTCCAATCTGACAGTAGGTAATTAGTACCTTTTTACGAATACCTTTCTTATTTGCATTCTAGTTTTGTTAATACTTTAAAGTGTGGATTCTTAAACAAAGTTTTTTTTTACATTTTGATATGAGTCGATAGTGCAATGGAAGATAAAAATGCAATAAAATGTTTGCATGTACAATAATATCCATGTATTTCGTAGAGTGAAACGGAGAAACGCCTTTTTTAACGTTTTTCTTAAGTAAGTGTTACCTTAGTGTAACCCAATACTGAAAACCGTATCAAAATCGGTTCACCTAATCATGAGATAAATGCAGACAGAAATAGTAAAAATATTAAATAGTATGTAGTACTTACGCAATGTATTCACATCGACAGGTGAAACTGAGAAAAAAAAATTAAAATAGGAAAATCATATGAGAATAAAAAAAACAGGAATTAAAAAGCGAAACCTCTACTTACTACATTGAGGATTCTCTTTGCATTCGATCTGGACGTCGCCTTTCCCAGACATGTCAGATTCTGTGCATATACATATCTGGCACGGGTGCAACGGATTTGTGAATGGCTGACCGCTGGGCAGAGGATTACACGTTGCTAAAATTAAAAAGCTCTTATCAGACTTTATTCATTTCACCATAAATATTAGTTACATCTTACAATTAATGACTTTAGTATCGCAAATTAGGTCTGACATTTCTACAGTGTAATTTTCAACCTTTTCGTTTATTTATTAATCAAAACGACAGAACAGCAGTTTAAGATGGATCGTTAATCTTTTGTAGTGAAATGATACTTGGGAGCTATTAATTTGATTACAATGAAATTAAGTTTTATTTGTATGTTTATATTGATATAAAAACATAACGGGTAGACGGAGTGATGAGACATCTCGTGATATTTCAATACCACAATAAAGTGCCTTTATGACGTAACTAAAGATTAGGAACCAACAGTAAAGATTACCTTGTGCCGGTTGCGGTGGCAGTGTTGGGATCAGCTCTGTAATTTGTGAAGGGCCTGGGGTAGTTGCTGGATATTTAGGATATGGCTGTGGAGTAGGAACTTCTAGGTTTGGTTCCGGAATAGGTTTTTCTGGAATAGGCTCCGGTTTTACTGGGGTAAAATACGGTTCTGGTATAATCGGCGTAGGCTTAGGAGTCGCTGGTTGGACAGGAATAGGTACCGGTAGTTCTGGGATGGGTTCTGTATACGGTTTACGGCATCCCCCACAACTTGCACAGACAGGCGTCAAGATTCCATACTCGTTGAAACAAATGCAACTCATACAATCAACGCCTTCGGACCAAAAATGATGGAACTCGTTTTCTTTTGTACACTGAATTACATTCTCATAACCTGGAAATAAGGAAAATATATTTTATTCATTAACACATGCATTGTAACATGTTGTTAAGAAAGGAATATAATGTTGTTATGGCACTCACCAGGCATTTTATTTGGGAATATATATTCATGTGGCTGTATCATTCTGGACTTTGCATCTGAAACAATCCATAATGCTTAAACACTTATTCTATTCCCAGATGTTATTGTTAATTTGTGTATTGTAGATGAAATTATGAAACTATAGTGCGATCAGTGAATTATGGCCAACTGATAATAAAATTACTCGATAAATTGATTAAAGTTTTAATACGACCATCATAAAAGTATTTACATGTACAAAAATTTTTGTTTGTAAAGATTTTCAATTTTATTTTTATACTAGTTTTTGCACGCGACTTTGTTCGCGTGGAATAATGACTTACTGCAGATTTTTGGTCAATAAACTATCCTATGTCCTTTTTCAAGTTCTAAACTGTCTCAATTTCACACAAATGTAGGTTCAGTAATTTAGGCGTGAAGAAAATACATACAGACAGAGTTACTTTCGCATTTAAAAAAAATGAATTATTGCTTAAAGAAATGAAATAAAAATAATAAATTATGGTAATTCAAATAATCACTTACTAAGAAACATGTAAGGAGGCCCTTCGTATGTCGCCATGTTGAAACCTGGACGAAAAGGTGACTCAGACGGATAATCATAAGGACCCAGACTATATTGATTAATGGCACCACCTGCAGCGGGTCTCAAATCGGCGTGCTCTTGTTTATTCGCTCCTAAAGGATATAACTTAGGAGTTGGAATTCTAGGAGGGTCATACTCATTCGGAGTCCAGTCACTCTTTGATTTGAGGTCTGACATCAAATCATAATCTGTGGCTGGGTCATATCCATGATCTTTGAGCGTATCGTATGGATACGAGGATCGAGAAGCAGACGTGAAATTATCAGCGTCATTATGAACATGTACTTTAATATTTGCGTTTGAAGCGTGTCTGTAAGGCGCAGAATCAAGGTCAGATCTTGAGATAGATTGAGAAACCTCAACAGCATCTTCTCTAGAATCCATTCTAAGAATGGGTCGATATACTTCATTAGCCGTTTGTTTCTGGGAAAAACTAAGACCATCATTGTATGTCTCGTGTTCGGACTCAGGAATGACAACAGACCGATATGACTCACTTTCTCCCGAAGATTTTGAAAGGAGGGTGTTACGCTCAAAGCCCTTACTGTGTCCTTCACTATATGGTTTAAAATTAGAATCTTGTTGTTTACTGGAATTTGGTATTGCAAGAGGCAAATACGGATAATTCTGTCGGGGCTGGGAAGGAGTAGGTTCTTTATATGGGACTAACACAGGTTCGAATGATGCACGATTTGATTTTAACATTGAAATTTCTTGATATGGATTATTTTGAACTTTTTCTTGGTCTAAATCAGATTTAAAAATATGAGAGCGGTGGGAAATTATGTTTAATTCTGGATTCTGACCTTCATGATATGGCACTGTGTAATAATTATCTTTTGGTTTAATCAAAGGTACAGGTTCATATGCTTCGTTGTCATTTTGTTTTTGGGAAGAGCTTGAATCTTTGTAAGGCACTAAATAGTTATATGGAACATTCGGTATCGGCAAAGGCTGATATTGCTCTATATTAGATTGAAATAGTTTTTCAGAACCAATTGTTTTTGTTTCTGGGTTATATTGATAAGTTGGCGATAAATGAGAGGGTAAATTTGTGGGTAGGTCGTATGTAGAAACAGAATGTTTGCCTTGTTCATCATTAAAATAAGGCGAAGATTTTAATGCAAGTTGATCTTGTAGTCCATTACCGGCTTCAGCTGATGGTTGGAGTGAATTTACTCCGGAACTGTAGGGGTAGGATGGTGAGTATGGGTGCGATTTAGCTCCTTGGTTGTACAAGTTGCCAATATCAACATTGGTTCTAGCTTCTGCTTGTGAGAAACTGGTTCCTGGCGGAGCAGATTGAATACATTTTTCATTATGCAATATAATGTCACTAGCTGATTTGATTCGAGAGGAAGCCCAAAGCCCTTAACCACTTTACTGGTTTATATTATTCAGGACCTATGAGTCTGAAAAATATTATAATAAAGCATGTCGCATATTTAAGTGTCATGTGTGCCATTAATGTAATGAAGATACCTCCAAAAGTACGAGAACCACTATGTAATATTAATTCTGATCTCCTATCGTTGTCTTTACAGACTACAGATTTTTTTTTTGTGTTTAATTAACAGACGAAAACTTACCACTTTTGAGATCACTGGGAGTTTCGAATTTATATTCATTAAAACCATTTGTTTCTTCAGCTCTGCCTTTAGATAACAGGAAGGCTAGGAGGCAAATGCCTCCAATGACCCCGCCCTGCATCCCGGCTTATTGCACTTTAACCCTAAACTTGTAATAATCCACTTATGTACCATTAACTATTGTTCCCACAAAATTAAATACATACACTAGCATAAACCACGCTTTTTATAAGGAAAACTATAATCGGCTGTAACAACCATTTGACGTTTTAATACTGCTACGGTAGTAAATAACAATTCTTTAAACGTAATTAGTGTATCTAAGAACTGGATTGATTAGATTGGTTTCAGCATAATTTATAGGTCCAGTGTCAAATGGAACGTCCATTACTTATTGAGTACTTGCTTGTCTCTGCAATAGTATTTTTTTTAAATCGAAAATATCTCTTCCTCATTAGTTGATACCTGCGAGCGACGAATCTGTACGATCCACAAATTTTGTACCCGGTCTGGGTGTTCTGTGTATGCGAAATTGTTTATATGCAAATGCATTCACGACATAGAAATGAAATCGGACACCATACGATATCAAATGTTTTTTCATGGTTTTGCCACTGTTTTGATATACTTTAGCGATTAAAACTAACTGAAAAGAAGTCAACACTGAGTCTGAAGGAGAAGTCACCATCTTAAATCTGTTTACATTATAAGATATATATAATTGTACTTTCTTTTATTCAATCAATCAACAGATATAATACAAGTTTAATTGTCCAAAAAAGAAATGGGCCCAATATTGAACATCAAATTCCGAAATGCAGTAGTCAGTGCTAGGGTTATCATAATAAAATGTCTGTGGAAGATCAGAAAAGATTGTATCTTTTTGATAAATAATATAAAGTAAACTATTTTTTTTATTCTTCGATGAAATCTGTATTGTTGTCGCGACAATTTGTTCTAAACTATGTTTAAATTAAAGTTAGCGTACATTACTGATGCTATGTATGAGCATATTGCGTTAACAGAATAAACACCTGTCTAGGCGTTAGTCTGAAGAAAAAACGAATTTAAACGATGAAACTACTGGCTTTCTAGAAGACATGTGTCAATTGTTCAACAATTTTGATGAAAAAACTATGTAATAAAAGTCATATTAATCCCACTAGTAGCTTTATTATAATTAATACATATATGTATGAAGTTTGCTCGTAATTTTCTAGATGCTTCGATTAAAGTATATATAAACTAACTAAATCAAATCCATTTTCTTGCCGAGTTTGTAGAGAGATCATTGTAATGGGTGTTTGTCTGAAATAAATAAGAATCAATTTAATATATTTCACACTTCACTTTTCAGTCAAGAAATTAAAAGGCATTACTACTTGAATGGTTGCCTATTTGATCGATTTCGCAGGTGGCAAAGTATTATTACGGAATTTTCAATTGCAACAGTTCAAAAACGACCAATAAGTTGCATAAAATATATACACTCATTACCACCAATTATTTTATTAGTTTAATGTCTCACAAGGGGTGAGCTTACATAGCGGATGAAGTAAATAATTATGAAAATTCTGAAAATTCAATAATAATACTTTGCCTCACCCGCCATTGAACCTCAGGTATGACGGTACTTTACTGCCCATTTCTTTAATATGGACTGAAGTCATCGCTAATGGAATCGTGAAATACTGGTCCTAATAAAGATATTATTCTAAATAAGGAAATGAAAATAGAAGTATGTTGTATTATCTTAGCAGATGAGTATTACCTTACATATTCTCAGAGCTTAAGTTACTTATTAGGCTCTCATTCTGAGTCTGAGCTTGCGTTGCTCAACATTTCGCTTTCTTCTGGATGCTGCCAGGTCTTCTGATAAATCATCTGCTAATTCAGAACCAGCATCTGGTTCGCCACTTCGAATGAGACCAGCGTTAGCAAGTGCCTGAGCGATAGCATTGGAACTTCCATAACCGCCATAACCACCAGCAGCCTGAGCAGCGGCAGCAGCAGCAGCGGCAGCAGCACTAGCGTCTCCATAACCACCGTGCTCGCCAACTGTAGCAGCAGCAGCAGCGGCAGCGGCGGCAGCAGCAGCATCTCCATAACCACCATGAGCATTTGCAGCCGCAGCAGCAGCTGCAGCTGCAGCAGCAGCGTCTCTTAAGCCGACGTATCCACCAGTATTAGCTGCGGCTAATGCTGCAGCATTAGCATCGCTGTAACCGCCATATCCTCCTAATCCAGATGCAGCATTAGCAATAGCTTCAGCAGCTGCGTTGGAGGCACCATAGCCGCCATAGCCAGCAGTGTTTGCTAAAGCCTGTGCAGCAGCATTAGCATCACTGTATCCGCCATATCCTCCTAATCCAGATGCAGCATTAGCAGCAGCCAGAGCAGCGGCATTGGAGGCACCGTAGCCGCCGTAGCCAGCAGTGTTAGCTAAAGCCTGGGCAGCAGCATTAGCGTCACTGTATCCGCCATATCCTCCGAGTCCAGATGCGGCATTAGCAGCAGCTTCGGCTGCGGCGTTGGATGCTCCATAGCCGCCATAGCCGGCAGTGTTTGCTATAGCCTGGGCAGCAGCATTTGCGTCACTGTAACCGCCATATCCTCCTAGTCCAGATGCGGCATTGGCAGCAGCTTGAGCTGCAGCATTGGATGCTCCATAGCCGCCATAGCCGGCAGTATTAGCTATAGCCTGGGCAGCAGCATTAGCGTCACTGTAACCACCATATCCTCCTAGCCCCGATGCAGCATTAGCAATAGCTTCAGCAGCTGCGTTGGAGGCACCATATCCGCCATAGCCGGCAGTGTTTGCTATAGCCTGGGCAGCAGCATTAGCGTCACTGAAACCACCATATCCTCCTAGTCCAGACGCGGCATTGGCAGCAGCTTGAGCTGCGGCATTGGATGCTCCATATCCGCCATAACCAGCAGTGTTTGCTATAGCCTGGGCAGCAGCATTAGCGTCACTGTAACCGCCATATCCTCCTAGTCCAGATGCAGCATTAGCAATAGCTTCAGCAGCGGCGTTGGAGGCACCATAGCCGCCATAGCCGGCAGTGTTTGCTATAGCCTGGGCAGCAGCATTTGCGTCACTGTAACCGCCATATCCTCCTAGTCCAGATGCGGCATTGGCAGCAGCTTGAGCTGCGGCATTGGATGCTCCATATCCGCCATAACCAGCAGTGTTTGCTATAGCCTGGGCAGCAGCATTAGCGTCACTGTAACCGCCATATCCTCCTAGTCCAGATGCAGCATTAGCAATAGCTTCAGCAGCGGCGTTGGAGGCACCATAGCCTCCATAGCCAGCAGTGTTGGCTATAGCCTGGGCAGCAGCATTTGCGTCACTGTAACCGCCATATCCTCCTAGACCAGTTGCGGCATTAGCAGCAGCTTGAGCTGCGGCATTGGCTGCGCCATAGCCGCCATAGCCGGCAGTGTTTGCTATAGCCTGGGCAGCAGCATTAGCGTCACTGAAACCACCATATCCTCCTAGTCCGGATGCGGCATTGGCAGCAGCTTCAGCTGCAGCATTAGACGCAGAATAGCCTAAAGAGTTAGTGATAGCTTGAGCAGCAGCATTAGCGTCACTGTAACCGCCATATCCTCCTAGTCCAGATGCGGCATTGGCAGCAGCTTGAGCTGCGGCATTGGCAGCGCCATAGCCGCCATAGCCAGCAGTGTTTGCTATAGCCTGGGCAGCAGCATTAGCGTCACTGTAACCACCATATCCTCCTAGTCCAGATGCGGCATTTGCGGCGGCTTGAGCTGCAGCATTGGATGCAGAATAGCCAAGAGAGTTAGTGATAGCTTGAGCAGCAGCATTTGCGTCACTATAACTGCCAGGTCCTAAAAGTCCAGAAGAAGTCAAAGCTTGAGCTGCGGCATTGGATGCTCCATAGCCGCCATAGCCGGCAGTATTTGCAATAGCCTGGGCAGCCGCATTAGCATCGCTGTAACCACCGTATCCTCCTAATCCAGAAGCGGCATTGGCAGCGGCTTGGGCGGCAGCGTTAGATGCACCTAGACCCAAATAGTTGGCAGTATTAGCAGAAGCTTGAGCGTCTGCTAGGCTGTAACCACCGTTGTAACCATTTGCAGCGTTGGCTACTGCTTGGGCATCAGCAAGGCTGTATCCAGTTCCGTATCCTGATGCAGTATTGGCTGCTGCTTGAGCGTCGGCAATACTGTATCCATCGCCATAACCAGATCCGGCATTAGCAATTGCTTGAGCATTAGCATTAGAGTAATCTAGTCCACTACTCAGCAGCGCGCCGGTATTTGCTACAGCATTGGCGTTCGCGTTTGAGCCTGAGTAAATATTTCCGTTCCAACCTCCAGTAATAGCTAAAGCATCAGCAGATGCACTGGCACTACTGGGATGTAGTAATCCACCTGCGTTTATTGCATTAGCTGAAGCGTCAGCTGTACTCCAACTCGATTCTTTTGGGCTTCCTAAAAGATGTAAAGAAATCGATTAGAACCAAAAATCTTTAATAAAAATCAAAGTCATTGTCACGTCCCAGAGAAATAGCTTACCACCGCAGTTCTTGACACGGCTGGTTTCAATGAACACGTAGTTGTAGACGACCTTGCATACGTGGATTACACACGGCTCAAATGCGTCGTAGAACGGTACCAGGGGTTGGTGATTTCTGCACTCAGGGGCTAAAAATTAATAAGATTACCTATTTGTAATTGTGCTGCTAGTTTGTTACTACTGTTCCGTATTTTCTATTCCGTGATTATTATCATAATTCACTGTTTGTAAAATAAATATTAATCCGAAAAACGTTCTGTACTAACCTACGTAGAGGATGACGGGCACTGGGTAGAATTTTGTCGCTGCGAAAAAATATACAAATTAGTTAAATAATTCACAAATTGAATAACTTAAAGTTTACGTTGTTATAATTTTGCTAGGCCTACCTCCAGGTACTTTGACTGGCACGGGTACGGGCACCGGTACTAGTCTGTCCTTGCCGGGTACTGGGATGTAGTGATTCACTGGGTACGGCACTGGTATCGGGGGAGACGGTACTGGAACTGGTACCTTAACTTCAGGTCCTGGTACTTGCTCAATCACCTTATATGGCACAATCTTAGGTGGTTGTGGTACAGGATATGGTCTGTTAAGAAATGGTTTCAAGTCATATATTTATTGTTATTTTTCATTGCAAACATTTTAAAGGTAACTCTTACCTGTCGACTGGATAGGGAACAGGAACTCTCTTCTCAACGGTTACTGGAACAGGTACTGGCACTGGCACTAATATGTTTTTACCAGGTACTGGTACTGGTACGGGGTATGGGCGCGGAGGTCCAGGAACAAACATTGGGGGTGGACCTATCGGGGAAACAGAGTATTGTAATTAAAAATACATGATGATAATAAATGATGTTTGGTGACTGGGCTTTTCCCAGTTGTACAGTCTTTTTCATACCTTTAAGGATTATGGCATTCTGTGTCCTGCATTAAATTCACCGAGGGAAGGGGAAACTATTTCATTTTTCCTTCTCCTATTACATCTTCTGTTGATTCCGGCTTATAGATGCAGCAGTTTTTGGAGGTTTTGGCAGGTTTGTCCCTTTTACTAGTAAGTCAATTTCTGTAGGCATTTAGGATAAAGAGAATGCCACAGAGCTTGTATAACGCGTTTGCTTAGGCGTGAACTCCAGCCCAGAACATGTTTACTTCAGCTGCCATTTTTTATAAGGAAATGCATAAAATAGCGAATACTTACAATACAGCAGTTGGTCCTGAGGTGTGGGTATTGGTGCTGGAGGACCAGGAGGTTGTGGTATCGGTTGGGGTGTAGGCTGAGGTGCTGGTGCTGGAGGCAGTGGCCTTACGCGAGGCCATGGTAGCGGCAGTGGCTGCGGTATCGGAACTGTAAGAGCAGTAAACGTTGACAACGAGCGAATAGAACATCGAAGAAAATATCGGTAGATAAAAAAGAACTGTAAACGGTAATGGTGAGAAAAAGAAAAAGGTTTTTTTAAAATTAAATAATAACAGTTTTGCAAGTCCCTACTTTGATGAAGTAGGACTCTTACATTTCGAAAACAATATTAGAGTCGAAGTAATTTTTGGCCTGACTCTGGTTGTGTTTCTGTCATGTTTATAATTTTAACATGAATTAGGTGAACATTTCATCGGCAGGCCATTTCAGGATTTCTAAACATTGTAAATAAATGATTTTGAATTTGACTTTGACTAAACATACGACATTCATTGGCAGTAATTTACAGTTCAACCTATCCTGGTTTATCCATTCGTTTTCTCAATAAATAAATAAGTACCTGGTAGAGGTGGCAGTGGAGCTGGTATCGGAATTACTGCAAAAAAAAGGAAAATTTTATTTTGAAGTAAAAATTTTGTTGTTATTGATTATTTTACAAATTAGAGAAAGAAATAAAGAAAGAAAAAGACAAGAAAGACTTTTTATAAAAACAATAAACAGACAGATGTCTGTTTATGTGTTGTCTATCTAGACAAAACTAACAACAGATGCATAAGTAAATGAATGACAGTTTGGAAGACACCTTTGGAAGTCGGTAAAACATGTGGCTAAATGTAACATGGTGGGTAAAACGAAATACTAATAATAATTTTGTATAAAAAACAAAATTTAAATCTAGTGCAAAGTGAAAAAAAAATAAAAACAAAAAAAATATTACCTGGAGTCGGTCTTGGGAGAATTTCCGGTACTGTTAAAATAAATAAATGGTTTTAGTCTACATTTCCCATATCAAACATATTTCAAAAGACCGACATTTTCACATATAAATAACTATTAAAGAAATAAAATACATAAGTAGAGTATGTCAAGTGAAAAGAGTATATCAATATGTTTTCCAATATTTTAAACAAAAAATAAAAAAATACTCTAATTTACCTGGCAGTGGTTGTGGTAATACGTCTACGACTGAAATTAATTTAAAACAAAGTAATTAGACTAAATCTGGTAGTGTTTCTGATTCCAATTAAAATGTTTTATGTTTAAACAATACCTGGTGCTGGTGGGAATAATGGTGTTGGAAGTATTTTAACATCTGTAAATAAATTTTACATATATACTTGTCAAAACGTGTCCTTTATAAATGTAAGTTTAAAATACATGTGTAATATGAGTTAAGGATATGGAAAATCAATCAAAAACTTACGAAGAAGATAGATCTTTTCAGTGTAAAATGACCAAAAATAACGAGAACTATGTACATACTAAGAAACGATATAAATATTGAAATAACTTACCCGGCAGAGGTAGCGGGATGGCATTATGGTCTTCTGTTAAAATATAATTGAACGATTACATTTTGCAAATATTTTACACTATATAAAACATAGTTTCGGATTTCAATAGATTTTTTACGTTTGTAACTCACCTACGCACAAGTCACAGGCCACACACTTGGAGTACATGAGCCCATATGATGAAGCGAAGCAGGCGCAGACGCTGCAGATGCCACCTCTCTTCTCATAGTACATATCACCCGGAGAGGTACATTTGTCGAGCCGCTCTGTAAAGAAACCATTTTTAAAGCACTTAAGGAAATTTAAACCCTCTTTCACCACATAAAAATATTTACAGCATTATAGCAGTGTATAATTCATTTGCCACCGTACTCTTCTCATGCTTATATTGAGCACCGACTAAGGTATGTCTTTGGGCGACAGAACTCAACTGAACTAGAGGAATCAACTGATACAGAAGGAGGCCACAGTTCAGCGTGTTACAGCGAGCGATGAGTTAAAGTAATGATGTGGATATATACCTGGGGATGCCACCAACGCGTTCGGGTTGAACATACGACTTTCATCGGAGTCTGAGTCCTCTAAACCATCGTCAGATGTTATATCTGTGGAAGACATAATAAATATATTGAATTTGTACTAATATGTATCTCATATGTTAACAAGAACTTCTCAATATGGTCTTTCCCATATTGCCTCTGCTCCGTTAGTGTGTTGATAGGTCGTCAAATAGAATAAATATTACCTGATTCAGCAGATAAATCTGCTACTCGGCCACTACGGAGCTCAGCGAACTGTGATGATGTAGCCGATAGCTCAGCTGGTTAGCCAATAAAAAAATATCGAACATACAAAAAAACATGTTTTATGATGTTACCTACTGAAACTTAAATAATTGTAAAACTTACCGCTGTCGGGTCGAGCAAAGACCCCCACAGCCAAAAGAAAGAGAAGCCATAGGCTCCTCTTGATCTTCATCATGATGCTTGGACCCGAGTTGAACTTTGGACCCAACAGTGAGTTGCGCACAACCCACCGAAGATACCTGCTCCCTCACCACTGGCACTATTTAAACCATTTTTCCTTTACGCATTGAAACGGATGTCCAATCGATTTGAATATTAAATTCTCAACAATACATATTTTTAATCTCATTTTAATATATTTAAACGAACCGTAAATATGTAAGGGAATTAATTAAATTTTTTATATATCGATATACAGCATTCGAGTTTATAGGATCGAAATATAATCTTCGAGTTCTAGCGACATTTGTGTCTGACGTTTGGGGAAATGGGTCAATGTGTCACCTGCACGGTGCTGCCACCTGTCGACTTTGAAAGCAATAACAGTCTTATTTATCTTTCCAATACACCTGAGGTCGAGGTAGAAAAGCGAAGTTGATTTGTCAAGTATTGTTGAGAAAAATTGTAATTCTTTTAGTAGGTTTGTTATCGAATCTGCGGTAGTGATTTTGTCCTCTGTCCTAATAATATAATAAAGAATATTGAATGTTTTGACCAAACTTTTAATTTCAAAATTCGATATTTTTTTTATTCTTCGTCATTTTCGTACTTAACACCACAATGACATAAAAGTTACATTTAAAATGTCTGAAAAACAAGAGCAACAATCGGAGGTCTCCGCCACAATGGGGCGGGCGGCCGGAAGCAGGCCGGGAGCCACCGGAACCGGAAGTGCGACCCACTAATGACGCTCCGTGGCGCCATCTACGTGCAAGCCTGCGTGAACGTTACCATTGTTGTTGCAATGAAAATTTCCAAATGTGTTGTGTGAAAATTAAATTGAGTAACATAATATTATACCAAAATGTGGTCACGCGTGCAGGAAGTTAGTAAATAAACTAATTGCTTGATTAGATTTTTTCTATTATTATTGGGCAGGCAATTTTGAATAATTGTATCAAAACATAAATACTTAGCTACAACTAATTTTATTCATATAACCATCCAGAATCTAATTGGATTCGTAGACTGAATACAGAAAAATGTCAGAGGAATCTATTCGAAAACGAATCAGTCTCATTTGGCGGGAACATGATTGATTAAAACCAAGATGGCGGACATTGTTATTGACAGCTGACATTGCAGGATACGTGCGTTAGTTTTATGGAAAATACTTTTATATTTGACCAAGTATAATATTTTAATGTGGATAAAAAAATAATGCTTTGAATTTATTATTTTATTCATTTTAGCACTTATAGAAAATAAAATGCAATACCGCAGTTTTGTTTATTTAAATGACACATAACAACATTTTGAATATAAACGAAGTAAAATATAATTATTGAGTCTGTACGATACTTAAAAATATAAAACGTAATAAGATTTACGTACAGAGGCCATTTGTAAAGGATACTTCCATATCATTAAACGAGTTACACGAATTACTGATTAAAAAGCTCCTTCGGGAATTTTTCCTTTGGCGAAGTTTTCCCTAACTAGTTGCTAACTGGCTGTACTGAGCATATATTCCACTTGAGCATGTACAAAATAAATTTTACATAGGTTTTTATCAACAAAATGTCGCGTAGTATAATAATATTTCTTGATTTTTTTGTAAGCCCTACACATGATAATTTGTAAATACCTTGAAACTTAAATAAAGTACTACCATTATTTTTAGGACGAAAACAAATTTTACAACTTTAATGCCTTTCCTTTCCTCCAATGCTCTATTTCACATTACTAATGAATGTGTTTTCTATTTTTACAGGTAGGTAAGAGTTCCAAACAGCAGAACAGTATTATAACGAGGTAAAATATTGATTAAATAACTTCATACTGTATATTACTGCAAGCACCCGTGTTATATAGAGACCATGCATGTTTTTATGTAAGCCGTAAGTTTTTTAATGTTCACATACTTTAAAAAAAATAGCATAGTATGTATATTTACCTATAGTGATTCGGCAGTCAAACTGTGAATACAGTTTTGTGGGACTATTTTTATTTCATAAGTCCAATGTAATTTGTTTAATAAATAAATTAAACAAAAACCTACGTAGTAACTTCTCGTAACTATAGGTACATTTAAATATTTTCTAGTCGTCAGGCCTTAGTTCTTCTCTTAAATTTTATATTTTTGTCTTGTCCAGCGCCGTCATTACCATTCGTATAACTTTGTACATCATTACGAGATGGTCCGTCCCCTGGCACTCGTTAGTTAGTAAACAGGCCCCGGTTCACTTCCCAGGAGAGTGAGTGCAGCTGTTCTGATCAAATCTACATATGCAATTTAAACTTTCCACTTTACTAACATCAAGTAGTTTCCCAGGTGTTTCCCACTAAATCATTTGCACGAACAAATTTATTATTGTTAAAACTTTGTGTTTAGATTATTTAAATGTCGACTTGGGAATGTTTATTTCAATTTGGTTTAAATGATGAAGTGTGACACAAGTTTTGGTCCAAGGGTCTTACTAAGGTAGATGGGTCAAGGCAGTGACAAACATGGCATATAAATGGGTTTCTAGGAAACGTGTTCTTTCACTATTCATTGTGGCTTACCTAAATACATTTTGAACCTGTGAATAAAGTAAGTAACAAAACAAACAGTAGTTATAATAAAATAAATTAGACTCTGTACAATAAAATGGTTTCAGAAACTTAGATATTTCACCGATTAGGAATATTAAAAACATCTCCAACATGTCGACTTTCGAACCCCAACTCAGTTCGTATACAGAGATGAGCGAAAAGTTTTCATGTTTAAAATCCCAAACTATACATCAGTGGCGGCATCTGCCGGTGCCATAATGGAAACTGCCAGAGTTAGCACGAATACACGACGGGGATTTTCATGAAACGCATTCCGTATAGATGTTGATATAGTGCTTTCTGTATGTTGATTCATATTGGTTTTATTTATTGAACGAGACTCTGTAGCATTGAACTCCCAGGGAAATTAGGTTTTATTTTATTTTAATGTGTACTAGTGATTGGTAACATTAAATTTCCGTTGTGAAGTTAAAAATAACGGTGCACAATTGCCAATTTAGCAAGTATGGCAAAGTAGCTATGTAAAAGGAATCAAATTACGTTTGTTAAGCTAAAGGAATAAATATATAACAAAATATTCATAATTTCATGAAATAACTGAAAACTTTGTGTAAATGTCGCCGGGATGCGGCGCGTCATTTGTTGCTATGTCGCTTGGAACATGATGCTCTTAGGGCTGACGCACGCTCGACATAACATTCATTTTTATGTTATCCCTGATACATCCTTTTTACTATGTTTCTCAAAGTTTATATTAATGGGAAATCGTTTCCTTCGTATTTTAGGGTTATTATAGAAAATGTATGTCACATGATTATATTGATCATTATTTCCTTACCTTTACTATGGTTAATGTGTAAAACATTATAATATAGAGAATACTAGATACCACTGCCACCAAGAATACATAGAAATTTCTTGCGCAGTTTCCCATTAAATCGAACCTGTGCGTCATCGTCTTAATAGTGACACAATTGGCGCATAGATGGAAGGTGCAAATGCAAAACTGTACTTTGACCCATCAAAAAAAGTACATAACTCTACTGACCTGTACCTGTATTAACCTAAGGTAGAGTAGAAGGAAACGCCGAAAAAGTATTTTAATTAATAAACAAAGGCCATTTTGATGATTGACACTCACAAAAATATAAAATAAAAATGGCGAGTGAAACAATGACGTAGTCACATTAATGTATACTCGTCAATCTCTATGCAACTATCACTGGTAGTGGTTCCGAAGAGTGTGTGTATGTGTGTGTGTGACCAACCCTGAGGCTGACAATACTTCAAACAGTGTATTCCGCATATGCGACACCTCAATTACTTACCGCTGTAAATTCTCTAGGTAAAAGCACACGAAGGGACTGATACTACCAGACCCTGCCTTTGAGGCCCGGAAATGCTTTAATGAGGAATTGTTATTATAACAGGGTGCTTTCTCAAATTATCTTACTTCGTTGCGAAAATAAATTTTAATACTCGATGTTAGAGTATATTTTTAGTTGGCGTCACAGTGTCGTTGCTGCCGCTTTTGAGATTTTAGGTTTCATTAGGAGTATATCTAATGTAGGTAATATTATTATGTTGGATGGTCATTCATTGGTCAGGATTTTCCATGGTCTATGTACAGCTAAGTAAAAACATTAGCGTAAGTCACGACGTCCCTACATGAAAAAAATGTTCTCCCATCATCTTTTAATTTGCAAATAAATAATAAGGCATGAGTATAAAAACTTCCACATTTTGTGTACACATTGTGACAATGGTATTAATCAGGGAACTGCGTACAATCGAAGGCTACCTTCTGTCCTGCCGACCCTCATTAGGACAGCTTCCGCCGAGGAAAGGACCGTCCAATTCATCGGCACCGCCTTGTTTGGACATTCCATTATCATGTTTAACCTCATTGTTACGACGGATGGGTGGCTTAGAGATCGTCCAACCAAGTTTGTTCAATCGATTCTGTAATAATCAATAGTTAATTATTATGGGAATTAGAGAATTTTATTTGGTTTGTGATTGACATGAAAACACTAAAAACAACAACCACTTCGCATAAAAATGCCTGAAATTCTTGCTTAAGTTTAAACAATTGGTGACGTTGTTAGGTATCTGTGAAAACATTTATGATTGCTCTCCATCATAAAACATTTTTCCGTAATCAATAAAAAAATATCAAACTAAACCTAATACATAACCACCTATATAATTCACTGTACATAAATTGTTATAATACTACTAGTAAAACAATATATTTTCAACCAAAATTTCTCCAGTCTCCTACGCTTAAACCCTCAATTTCAGTGTATACCATTACGTTTTTAAACCGTGTACCGTCACTTAGTCTCAAAAACATATTATTTCTAAAGTAAGCCAAAATATAATGCCTGAGTAACGAGAGTATCACACAACTTTATGAGTTGCTTACATGTTGCGACCTGTTCTTTAAGTACATATTTGCATGTATAAGCGAGTTTTTACCTCGTGTCGCGTCTTTTTAACAATAAGTGAGCTGAAGTACTAACGTGTGTACTGTATAATGATAGAAATATAAACTTGCACATAGGACGAAAGATTGGGAATAGTTGTCTTTCTATTTATGCAGTGGCCAGATATAACGCCATTGTTCTAATTTCAATTTTTTTATCCTATTTCGTCGTTACCCAAAATTAATATGTAAAACACATAAATATTTTTTCCGTGAATCAAACCCGCAACACTTTGCACAGCAGTCGTCGGCCGAGTTACTGCGGCAATGGTGCAGTCAAAAAATAACTTCAAGATGTTTTTCATTTTATTATTCATGAGAGAATGTCACTTCACTGCTATTCAATTAACAAAAGAATTACATAAATGCTAAATAGCCCCGAGCAAGTTGACGCAACTTCCTGAAAGAAATTATATAAGAAACGATCCAGCGAGTTACAAGCACCGCGGAGGAACAGCTATAAAAGATATCCAATACACTTTTAATTAAAGAAAAGCCGAGAAATTAAAGTGCACCGCCTTAATAATGTACACTGGGTACAATTACTGAAAGTTTCACAAGTTTTAATAAGGCGGCGGCAGGGGGCGCCACTAGTTTGAGGAAGTTTTCCCCTAGCTTCCTTCCTGAAGTTGAAATATTTCAGGGATTGCTTTGCACTAAGAGCTTGTCTAGATGAAGCGATTCATAAGACACTCTCTTCAGATGACGCAGCGTCTCCATCTTGCCTCTATTTGTTGCCATCTTGGCAACAATGTGAGTTCCTAACATTATTTCGTGTATTTATGTAGGAACTATGAATACATATACATTCGTCGTCGGGCAGCTAGTCTTGTAGAGCGGTTAGTGTTTCTGTAAATTCTTAATAAATACAACAAAGTTTTTTAATTTTCTGGAGTAGTTGAGTTTTTTAATCAACTAATAAGTGCCCACTGCTGAGCAAAGGCCTCTTCTCATACAGAGAAGATTAGAGCATTAATCACCACGCTTGCTCAATGCGGGTTGGCGATTTCAAACTTGTAATTAGAAATTATCCAAGTATAAAAGTCCAGGTTTCCTCAAGATGTTTGCCTTCACCGTATGTCAGTGGTGTCCGTATGTAATCATAGAAAGTACATTTAACTCAGAAAAAGTCACATTGGTACTTGCCAGGCTTCGAACCCCCACCCTCATGCATGAGAAGCGGGCTCCTTAACCACCGGGCCACATCTCGCTAACATGGGATTCAATTCATAGCTGGTGAAAACTTGGTATAATATTTTTACATACTAGTTTCTGCCAACAATTTTGGCCGCAGTCGCAGAGTAAAAAGCATGTGTGTTATTTGAAACTATAATCTATCTCTGTTCCAAAAATTATTCCGATCTATTGAATAATTTTGTACGAAAGAGTAACAAACATTCATCCATTCTTACAAACTTTTGCTTCTATAATAATAACAGTATTGTGTTTACGTTTGTCGATTAAAACGATTTCATTGTCACTTGTATTGTAATTATTTATATCGGACGGTAACATAATTAATATAATTCTCAACACCGCTCCGACTGAACACCGCCTTTCTTCGCTCGTACCGTTTTTCCTTTGTTTTCGTTCTCAGCTTCTTTGCTATCAATAACTTATTTTAATTTCCTTCCCAGACGCGGGTTATGAACGGTTTTAAATAAGACGAATATTTATTACGTTGATGTAAATATTATTATACAAAAATCTAAAATAGCGACTGTTGAGCAAAGTTTATTTTTTATTTTGTTTTGATTTTAGTTTTCTTTTAAATGGTAATTATATGGTACTTACTTAATTTCCTAGTAAGAAAACAGAAATGAGCGCTTCTCGCCGTTAAACGATATGTTTGGAACGATTTAATCTTTAATAAGAGGTACAATATTTAATTCTCAAAATTGTACTTTTGTTAAATAAAAAAGGCCTCTTCTCATACGGAGAAGGTTTAAACTGGACTTAAACTTAAAGCAGATTGGCGATTTCAAACTTATGGTTAGAAATTATAAGTCCAGGTTTCCTCGTACGACACGTAGCGTTCTGCGCGCGCCTCGAAGAGCCAATAGACCACCACAGACGGGGCCCTATAGGGCTGTTCAGCCGGGGTTGCGAGATAAGCGCAATGTGTCACCGTGGCCTCAGCCCAGAGCAGGAGAAGGAACGGGGGGGGGGGGGGGGGTTTAATCCAGTAAGAGTCTGACACTATCTCTCGCCTTACCCGTGGCGGGAGAAGTCATTTGATGATTTTCCCTGACAAAAAAAAAGGGTTTCTTCACCATATTTAGGTGGTATCTAAATACCTAATCATAGAAAGTACATATAATTCGGAAGAAGTCACATCGGTACGCTGGCGGGCGCTTTAATCTACGGGCCACCACGATTTGATCAGTAGAGACACCTCAAAATAACTTATTATTTACTCAATAACGAAGCAGAAATCTTAATAAGAAGTTTATTTATGAAATAGGTAGTGATGTGTTTGCAACGCGAAGTGCTGCATCTGTCGCGCGGTCGCGTCGCTCCAACTTGCGGCAGTTGGCGCTTGTCGCACAGGTGCTTCGTAGACAACTTCCCTGTTTCAAACTTTATTTGCACTGGATTTGAACTGTATTTTGGAATAAGTAAAATTATTATATTAATTGCGACGATCGTGTCAAACGATTCTCATAATTAAGTGGGGTGAAAGCAGATTTATTTCACACTAGTAACCTGCCCTGGCTGCTCACGGCTGCAATTGTGGTGTAATTTCTAATTTCTCCTTTATGTACTGATTTTTTTATTTCATTTAAGTTAACCAACAATTGTTTACACTTAGACATTTATTGTAAGTTAATGATTGGTGTGACATTTACAAGTGCAACAATTTATTAAAGGTTAACACCACATGCACAAGAAAACGGCTTCAAATAACTTATTTATAACATTTCAAAATCAATACCTATATAGGTACATAATAAAAAAGCAAAATCAAAATGACAATATTATACATATAAACTATTTTGTTTACCCATTTTTATTCAAAAGTAATTTACATAAACTTAGGTTCGTAGTTTTAAAGTTTTAAGTATAACATATACATATACATAGGGATATAGGGACAGAGAGAGCGACTTTGTTTTATACTATGTAATAATTAATAAAATGTATGTGTCTGTTGTTCTGAGCTATTAAGGGTCCTTTTAAATTCGTAAACATAGAGAAATGTTAGTGACGTGTCAGTAATCTGGAAACGTTACTAGAAATCTAGTTTATTTTCCTATTTATACATGCGCATTTACCTACTTATAATATTAAGCTAGCATCCCTTCCACGCTCCCTCCCAGACAAATGTCCTCCCAAACCCAACCAGATCAGTGAAGAAAACAACTCAGGATGTATGTTCAACAAAATAAATAACCAAATAAAAGTTAGTGGCGTTATATTAGGAGTTTAGGGGCTAACCGTACCGCCATCTTTCAAGCGAACTAATCAGGTAAGTGCTTCGTATTTTATAGGATTCACTGCTCGGTTCTAAGTTCGATTCCCGTTTAAATTGATTATAAAACGAAGTTCAACTGTTGTGTTGCATTTTTAAAATTTGGTGCAGTTAAAACGATATTGTTATTTTTAGTACCATTTAAGGAACTTATCGTGAAAAAGGCTATAACTAATTTTTTGTGACAATTATGTGAGATAAATAAAAACCAAGGACTATGTCTACGGGTTTTTTTTAATCACTGGCCAACTCTTACTTGACCTAAATTCTATACTTTTTTAAAGTTCAGATTTTGCAGGAAGGTATTTTTATTAACTGGATCTTTTGTGTTTTAGTTAGGTCGTTTTAATTAGAGAGAACGACATTATTGAGCTGAAGCTGAATTTCAGTGAGGCGGGCGGGCAGTACCGTCTTGGTTATTTAAGTATAGGTTCCATACTTTTGTTTAGTAGACGTGCTTTGATTTTATATACCTACCTTTATTAGATACTAAAATACATTATTATTTTTAAGTACTTAACACTGTCTATACTAAGATTACAAAGAGGTACAACTTCCAATTTGTAAGTTTGTATGTATGGGGTAATCTTTAGAACCGCTGGACGGATTCCCAAAATTCTCTCACTGATAGATGAACGAATGATAAATCAGCTACAATGTTTCTGATTGCTATAGTCTATGAAACATCACGCTGTGATCTGTAGCAGCAGCTGGTGCCACAGCACGAGGGTAGCTAGTTATATATAAAATAAAAATTAAAAGTGTGTAGATCTCCTGCCGCTACTTTTTTAGAAGTTAGGGGTTTCATCGACATTAAAAGTTGTCATAAAGTGTTAAAATATTATTGATTTCACTTATTCCAAACAATAAATTAAGCAATAATGTGGAACCCACAAAACTGTAAGTAATACAGGGTGTTCAAACATCAGCTGAACGAGTTTGTGGTCACTAAGTCCCGAGGGGGGGGGGGAGGGGTGAACTTGTGTTTCATTGAGATTGTATTGTGTCCTCTAGGGAGGTTCAACGTCGTATATTTATATCTAAGCTTGTACTTGACCATCGAATTGTGAATGGCTAAGATTCTGTCAAGTGCTGATAGAGAAAGCAAAATGCTATTCCTATTTTTGGTTACTTTCAGAAATATAATATAATCTAATCTTTCATTAAACAATATAAACTGTAGTAAAACTGTTGTTTCCTTCAAATAAAATATAACAAATCTTGTTATTCTACAATACAATGTAGTTTCAAATGATTGTCACTTAACATAAAAGTGTAACAATGAACGCAATTCGCTCAGTAAAAGTTACGTCGGCCATTTTATTCTGGCACTTAGAGTACCAAGCGGCTAACTAGTGCGGTCCATTGCAGAGCAACTTTGCTTGAATTGCAAATTCCCGCGCAAGATACTATACAGTTTTACTTACAGCATGAGAGTTTGAAAGCGTACCTTTATATTTTAGTGGAGCATGCTGTATATCTTGCTTCGATGTTT